TTATGCCTGAACTGTAGCTTGTCACATGTTTTCACACTTCTTAATAAAATACCGAGTTCAGTTTGTAAGGCTAAAAGAGTCCACCTAAAGATCTGTTTCGACCATTCGGACACTACGTTTCAAGTATTAAAAGCAGAGATGTTCATTAAAGAGACTGAATAAGGGTGAAAAAGCTAACACTCTCCATCATATGGGCTCCAGAATATGCCACTTAAACCTGTTTCATATTATCAGAAAGTGAAATGTGTACAAGAGTACACAAAGAATGTATGCGAAACCATATATTAGCTAAAACTCCATTTATAATCACCGTTATTGAGAAGTAACCACCCATGGCTCCTTAAAACACTCAATATGCCTTTAATGATATTATGAGAAACAAACATTTCGATGCGTTTAAAATTTTCTGAGGCTACCTTCTGGTACTTCCATCAGTAGAGACAGATCATTTTAATCTTTCATTTCTCATGAAAAACAAATGTTTCCAGAAATATTCTGCTTATTACTCAAGGTAAAGGAAGTATTACCAGAATTCCATTTCACAATTCTACTAGATTACCACTGCCGAATGTTGTCACAAGTATTTCTTATTCACACAAATATTATTCAGGATTGATGGCAGATTAAGCATAAAGAGAACTATTTAGTCCAATACTATGTTACCAGTGAGGAAACAGCATTATTCTATCAAGGTCATCCTGTTAGTTAATAAATAGACTTCAAAATCAACTCCCCATGGTGGCCTTTTTCACTCCAAAATATCATTCATATTATTAAATTCAATAAGCATTTGTTTATGTTATATTAATATATTGCTCTTATTATACTTTCTATAAAATGGATACTCTACACCATGAACTATTTCTGCATATATTAAATCATTATCGGTATTACAAAGCAACATATACAAACATAAGTAATTTATAAAGTAAACTGTGATGTCACAGATGCAAAGTACCATCTCAGATTCAGCAAAATCCTAATATCACAGTTGGAAGCAGAGTCTTTGAATCCTAGATCTAATCTTGACAAGTGACTTGACTTCTCTGATTCTCCATTTCTAAACACTTAGCCTGGAGAATACCACCAATTGCACTGGGTTACTGAGAGGGAAAAATGAGACCAACCATGTACATACAAAGCTCTCAGCACCATGCCCAGCATAAGTACTGGCCCTCATGCTGTGCTGCTGTTGTAACTGAAGGGAAAAGTCTGTGGCAATCATGCCTACAGGAGTTAAACTTAAGCAATAAACACACTAGTCTTTAAAAATCTATTCGAATAGTGAAATGAGACCACCACAAAAATAAAACAAACAAAATTTACGAAGACCATATGATAAGTTCTCCAAGCTCTAGTATATTTTACAATTTTTTTAAATCTAAATTCTGTTCTGACTTGAGCATACAATGTCTAAGATTGTATATGCAAGACATTTACTACTTCATCTCCCGATATCTTAAAAACAGAATACATCTTTTAATAATAATTAACTAATATTTTAATAAGAAAGAGTTGAGAATGTTCATTAGAATTTTTTGTAAAAGTAAAACTTTACAGGCTAAATGTCCATCAATATGTAGACTATATGAAAAAATTAAGCTATAAACAGAATAAGAGGGATTTACATATACTAATATGGAATTATCTAATAAGACAAGTCATCAAGTTAAAAAATGCAAAACATAAAGTACAACCAAGAAAAATAACTGTTACATGAATATATATTTATGCACTTAAATTCATACACAAAGAATTAAAACTATGCAACCAATGGTGACCTCTTGGTTTTACTCTGCATAATTCTGTTATTTAACTTGTTCAGGAAGACTGTATTTATGAATTAGTTGTATAATTTATGAACCCCAAGGAAAGTTAGCCAATAAACACACTAGGCTAAAATCAAGTTAAAATAAGTTTTTAAAAATTAATTAATTTATTTTTTACGGTGACATTGGTTAATGAAATCCAATAAGTTTCATCTGCACACTTTAACAGTAAGGCATATATATATTTACACTGCGTGTTTATAAAATAAGTTTTAGAAAGCACTGTATAGTTTACAAAAGGATTTTGTAATCTTTTAAATAAATCCTTTGACACATTATCTAATCTGACCCCCACAATAAGCTTCCAGAATTTAAGGTAGCAGCCTTACTTTAAAAGTGAGAAAAGTCTCAAGTATTTATTAATTCACAATTAATAAATGCAGAGCCAAAATGGAAACATGGTTCCCTGACTCTAAATTCAGTGTTCTGGTCTTCCGGCTACAATAACCCCACAAACTGGAAATGCTGGCATCTACTCCAAGGCCTTCTGTCTCTACAGCGCTTCTGTTCACGAGAAAGTGTGTAGCGTGGAGAAAAAAAAAGCTTCAGAGGAGGAATCAAAAGACCTGGGTTCTAGTCCTGACTACATCGCCACTAAACTTCATGACAAATCAAACTCTATGACCATGACTTCTTGTGGTTGCACATCAAATTCAACGGTGATGTTTTCAAAAAATACTAATACCCAAGTCTGACCTCCACAGATTAGGACTTAATTGGTGTGGAGTATTAGCATATTTCCTAGGTTATTCTAAGTGCACCTTGGTTAAGACTAAAGCTTTAAGACCAAAGCTTTATTTAAAAATAAATGACACAGAAATCACTTGTTCTATGTACTTGCAGAGTTGAAATAAAGGATGAATGCTATATGGGGAAGTCTCTTATGAACAATAAATGCCTTACAAATGTAAAGGAATTATTATTATCCACTCAAACATGTACCGCATATTCTACGTGCCAGGCATGTTCTTGGGATGGAGAGAGAAGGCATCACTCTCAAGAAGCTGGAGGAGCTACCGCATCCTCAAATAACTAACGAGCAGTGGGGAAAACCACAGCAGTGGCACAAAGATGGTGGTGAACAGCCCAGCCTTGTGGCCTGAAGGTACGTCAGGGTGACAGTGGGAAGAGGGCTTAGAAAGACCCGCACAGAGGAGACCATCAGGCTACATCTTGGCATTCGCATGGCCAGAGATTCTCAAGGGAGGGACGTTGGAGGTCCCTGAGACCTTTTCAGGTAGTCTGTGATGTTATACTATTTTAATACTACTACTAACAGACATCACCACCAAAAACTAGAAACAACCTAAATATCCTCCAACTGGTAAATAGACAAACTGCAGTATATTCATACATTGGAATAAGACTCGGCAATAAAAAGGGACAAATTAGTGATACACACAACAGCATGGATGAGTCTCAAATACATTGTTAAATGGAAGAAGTCAGACTCAAAAGGCTGCAGACTGAATGATTCCATTTATACGACATTTGGGCAAAAGCAAAACTATAGGGCTAGAAAATAAGTCAGAGGGTGTTGAGGCTAAGGGGAGGAGAACAAAAGGGGTAATGGAAGCGTTCTATACCTTCATTGCGGTTACACAACTTCGTGTTTTTCAAAACCCAGAGAAGAACTGTACATTAAAAAGGGTGGATCTCACTCTATATATTATGCCTCAATAAATCTAACCTTTTAAAAAAAATACCATACCATTTGCCTTTTTCACTCTCATTCTCTCATAAGTGTACAATGTTTCCAGAAGCTGCATAACTGTGATGTCATCACTGCACTGAGGTGATTTAAGTTTGAGTATTCTCATGCTTTTCTCCATTTTAATTTCTAATACAGTAACTAATGAAAGATATACTCAACATGAACAAAAGCTCTCTCGGGGTTTCAATCACTTTTAACAGTACAAAGGGTTTCTGAGACAAAGGTTTGAGAACTGAGAACCTCTGCTATAGGTAATGGGGCAGTCCTGAGTATTCTAAGCAGAGGAACAAGACCCAACTTTACAAAGGATGGTACAGGAAAATTAGTTATGAAGTTACTACAAAGCTCTGATTAAGGCTGCACTGGAAAGAAATTATGCCCACATATCAACTGCAGCATGTTATAAATCTCAAGCCAGTTTCTCTCTACTGAGCTTTCTCTTTGTTGGTATGCTAATGTTTTGCCAGCTAACTTCTGTTAACTGATAATGTAATTAGGAAACTAAATCAGCTACAAGAGCCATCCCACAATGCATTACTGATAAGTGATTTTTGGATTATTCTCAGTTGCCACTGTCCGTCTTCAAGCAATGCCAACAATTTAAAATTGTTTTACATATTTTGAACTTGAAAAGTCACCATCCTAAGGAGGTACAAAAACTAATTTAGAAGTGACTCAACACCTCAAAATCAATTAGAAAAAATAGGAAATTGATTAAAAAGCCAATATATTACTTCTCTGAAATGTGCTTTCATTTGTATTCAGAAACACTATAACGATCCCAGCTCAGTACGATTTTTTTCTGTGCAATGTGCTTTTTTTATTTTTTTATTTTTTGGATTTGGGGTGTGGGGTTGTTGTTTGCTTTTGGTCTGCACAGTTCCTTTTCTTTCCCGGGGAAAATTCATTTCATAGTATGAGCCCTATAAATTCTAAATTATTTCAAGTACAGATCTTTTCCTATAATCTTCTCATGCCCAGAACTATTAAAAGTTCTTAGGGATGCCACAGAGGTAGAGAAATTAACCTTGAAACCATCCATGTCTTTAAGCTTTAAATACATAGAAAATAGATAAATAAATAGATAGACAGCTAGAGCAGACAGATGATAGACTGATGAATCGATCTGTGAGGGAAATACTAGGTATTAGAAGAAAAGATGATTTCCTTCCCCTAAAAAAACAAATGAATACAGTTTTACAAGCCATTTTAAATGGACATGTGTGTATGTTTTTAACCGCCACCACATATTGCTTCTCTAATTGTTTTAAGTAGCCAACCCCACTGACACCTCTTAAGTAATCCCAAACAGGTAAAAACCTGTCTGAGAAATTCAATTTGCCACCTTTTTAAAAATTCACCTATACCTCCATTCATGTAAAAGGGGGTGGGAGTAACTCCAGATTTCTACCAAATTTGTTGTGTACTATTAAGATAAAGTAAAATTAGACCCTTACCTGAAATTACAGTCCTTTCAATCTATCTCTTACACAAAAATCTTGGAAATTAGGTTACAGCCAGTACTGCAGAAGATTCGAATTTAAAAGTGAACCTATGGATTGAAAGGGGGGAAATAATTAATTTGAAATACACACACAATGAAGATAAAAACATCGATTTATCAAAGATGAAATTTCCATACACTTGTTAAAGCCAAATGGTTTCACAGGAAACCTGTTTTCTGTGACTCAAATCCAAAATGGAAAACGTGGGTGGTTCTTCCTGTCTTACCATTGAGCATCAGCCAATTGGCTGATGAAGTTTTCATACAACTTACGCTCAAACTCTAGCCTTCCATCTGCTCTAATATTGTCATACCTTGGTGAAACGAAAGAGGAATAAAGGCTTTCTTCAGCCCCAAAGGAAGTCTTTAACAGGGTACCTTTGATTTATTCTGTCTAGACCATATTTGAGCAAACTGCCAAATTCTATAAAACTTCCAAACCAGAAGATGTGAAAAATAATGAGAGCAAAATCACAAAATAATTGAGAGATGTTAGAGTTATCTCTGACTTTGGAGCTGTGGTTTCTAAAAAGTGACAACTGCCTCTCTTGGGTACTAAGCTACAAAAGCAGAGTAATTGTGGAGCAGGGGCTTCCAGCCCAGACATCTTAACCACAGCTGCACTTCCCCACCCATAAGTCACTCAGCACTTGCCAAGATGTGCCTGCCAACAGATACCATATACAAACTTCTAAACATATGACTCTGCCAGATTGGAATATGAATCCAATAATTCTGCAGAGTATTTCTGCATATCCACCTAGAGCTAGTAAACTAGCTGGTGAGATACAGACTTAACCGAAAACACACACATAATAGTACTCCTTCAAGGAGAAAAAGTCCACGGGTCCATGATACTAGCATGGTAAAACAATGCTTACAGTTAAGTCCTCAATTAACATCATCGATAGGTTCTGCAACTTTCAGCAAAATGACATTTAATGAAACCAATTTTACCATAAGCTAATTGATATAAATAAGAGTTAAGTTTCTACAGCATCTCGTGAATGTTATAAGAAAGTGTTATTAGAGGACCTGCTGTATACACTGCTGCCAAAAGCCACCTTACATTTATACCTATAATCAATGGAAAATCTGCAAATACAAGACAACAGAAAGTCGGATGGCCACTTCCAACATTAATACAAGGACTCCAAGTGACAAACTGCTTAGGGACAGCAACTGTCCAGATCCTAAGGATTCCAGGCCCAATATGAAAATGCCTCATGCCTTTGGAAGTTGCCTCAAAAATGCTGAGATTCGTATGGTTCACCCTGCTTAGCAGAGAAGGGCCTTCCATGAGCCACCAGTGACTGCTCGGCAAGTTCTTGCATGATTCCTCCCATAGTCACCCAGGAAAACCTATTCACCAGACGGAAGCAAGGGGCACTGCCTCCCAAAATACGCATCTCAAGGGAACTCTTTTGTATGGAGAAAATGAAACCTGAAATACCCACTGGTTGTATGTTTAAATTTTAGAAAATATGTGTATGAAAGCACTAAGTAATCAAGAGCAAATACAAATCATACACTTTTAGAGCTGGAAGAGACCCAATATCCCATTTACCACTGTAAAACCCTCATTTAACAAGCAATATTAAGTCAAAATCTGACTGCCAGCTTAGTGTTCTTCCTATTACACACTGCTCTCTAATCAACTGTGAAAACATTTTGGAGCATATAAAAATAAAGTTACAACTCAGTGCCATGATAAATCTCATTTCACAATGTTACAGAAGAAACAATTAACATGAAAGATTAAAAAATAAAAACCTTTACTAGAGTATTGCCTGCTGAGGAAGGGGTCAAATGGGTTGACTGTCTTTCTCCATACAAGTATGGTCTAATTTTATGGTCAGGAGAAAAGCATGTACATATTACATACACAAATCATCTCGCTTTTTAAAAAATTGATCACTTCCAAACCAGTACCTCTAGAGAAAAGATACAAAACATGGTATCTTATTTCACTGACAGGGAATGTTGAAATGATATATTAATCCTTTCTTCTCACCGTTGAGGTTGAAAATATTTTCTAAATACTATAATTAATTTCCTCTAATATAATATATTTAACATCAGAACAGAACAAGTAGATTTATTTCCCTGCTGTAGTTTTCTTCAAAACTCTTCTAAGACGAAAACCTAAGGTGATCTTTCATTCTGTTCATCTCCCTAAATTCCAAATGACAATTCCTCTATCTGCACATTTTTACAAACTTAAAAAAAAAAAAAAAAGATTATATACATTAAAAGAAATGGACATAAATAATTTGTATAGGATGAAATATCTGCATGAATATCTGCAACCTTTTTAAAGATAAAACATAAATTTCTAAACAAATTCACAGCTGCTCCCTGGGTTATCGCCAAAGACAGGTCCACGTACTCCTCTCCTATTGAGAATACTTCGGCAAAAATTCGCAGCAAAAATTAGTACCAATTCTAATCATGCTAAGCGAAATGAGCCAGATAGAAAAAGTTGAAAATCACATGATATCACTTATATGTGAGATATAAACCTAAAAGCAACAAATGAGCAGGACAAACGAACAGAGACTCATGGACATGAACTACAGACTAGTGGTTACCAGAGGACTACAGAGTAGTGGTTACTAGAGGGATGGGGGAGGTGAGGGGAGGTAGACAGGGTAAAGGGGGTTAAATACAGGGGGGTGGGGGAGGGCAAAGTGGGAAAAAAGGGATCAAATATATGGTAGCTGAAGGAAACTGGACTTTGGGTGGTGAACACACAATAAAATTTACAGATGTCAAATGATAATGTACACATGAAAATTATATGATTGTATTAACCAATAAACTTAATTAAAAATAAATAAATAAATATATGAACGATAAAAAATTTTTAAAAATTAGTACAAATTCTGCCATTAATTAGGTGTGTGGTGTTGGGTAAGCTTTAGGCTTGAAACTTACATAACAAGTCAGAATCTTTGATCGCTAAGGTTTTTTCTAGGTTTCTTAACATCTTCCTAAGACATTAGTATCTCTTTATTCCCCTTGACATCTAATAAGCCAAATATATCTTTAAATAAAAAAGTTAGCATTTATAAACTACATTATACTCTAGAACTTACGAGGAGACTACCACCAGCTTAGCTAAATGAAAATTTTAGAACTTTATAGACTTTAACTGCATAAAATGTACCTCCTTGTCTCATGTCTCAGCTTTTCCAAAAAGGTTCAGAAATGTACTTTCACATCTGGATGAGTCTGCAGAAGCATTTGTCTACTCTGCTGATAACCTTGATTTCTTCCTCTTCCCTCCCCATCGCCTCAGGACCCTGATACTCTTACATCTGTTTGGTTTTTGAAAATGAAAAGAAGGAAGAAAGGGAGGGGAGAAACAGAAGGGAGGGAGGGAGGGAGGAAGGAGGGAAGAAGGGAAGGACGGAGATTTAAAACCTTTTAAATTATGTTTAAAACTAGCTACTGTCCAAGTCTATATTTGAGAAACTCTGTGTGCATTTTTATCATTTAGTGATCTAGATTTTAATGTCCAAAGAATTTGTTCCCCACTAATACCTGAAAATGAAACTTTTTCATCTGAATTCGTGTTCCTTATTTACTGTGAACAAAGCAAGGAGGTTCCAGAATACTATATGTGACACGACTCACACAGTTAACTTATTTTGTTTAACAGATGATTCTGCCAGCCCCAATGAATTCATGAATAAAATAATTACTAGGGTTGAGAATCTGTCTTTTTACTAGAAGGAATACAAAAGAGTAGCTGTTTTTGCCAAATTCATTCATTCAACATATATTTACTGAGCATCTACTACATGGCAGGCACTAGCTATTCTTCATGCTAGGGATCTACAAACTGAAGAAAGTCTGCCTTTATGGAGCTGGTAGCCTGGAAGATACACAACATAAGCAGTAAACAAAATATATAGACAAATTATATGGGACATACATATATAATGTTCGAGGGGATATGTGCTGTTAAACAGAAAAAGATCAGGATGGCAGAATAAAGGGGTACAGGAATGAACGGAGAGAAGGTGGGTTACAACCTTAAATAGAACAGGTCAGGGTGGACACACTGCAAAGGCGGCTCTGAGCAAAGACTTGGAGATGAGAAGTGAGCCAGACTGAAGTTTCCTCCTAATTTTTACTTTGTGCTGACTACGCATACAATGACAAACGCCTTATCAAAAGAGTTGTGTGTGAGCAAATTTATGAACAGCCCAGAAGAGTAAATAGAAGAGAGCTGTGTATAAACCCCCTTCGTTTTTGTAGCTTGGTTTACCAAGTGAAACTTACATCTTCAATTAGGCATGCGCATTGTGTTTTTCCCCCCAAGTGTGTGGTTGTGAACCAAATTCTTACTTCTGTGATTCATTTTCCTTATAACTCAACCAATTTCCAAGTCTTCACCTGACACATAAAAGACCACCAGTGTTATCCAGCCAACATCAACCCCACTGAGACACCCCAACTGCTATCTCAGGACTTAAATCTCAGGATGGGAACCCAGGAGGCACTGGAGCCTTCTTCCGCTGTGGAGAAGCCTCTGCTTTCCTAGAGTTTTAGTGAGAAAACACAGGGTTTGGTGGGAAAAGAACAGACTGTGAAAGCAGGAGGCCTCATCACCAACCAGCTGATGACCTTGAGCAAATCACTTCATGTTCGGCCTTCCATTTCCTCAGCGACAAAATTAGGGTACTGGGCCATGTGATTTCGAAATCCCTTCGAGGGCTAAGTCCATTTCAGAAAAGAACTTTGGGTAAATAACCATATACCAAAAACTGTAACAATGTATGCTTTCTAATTCTGCTAATTCGCCATCAGAGATCCATATACTTTACCTTGTTCTTCTAATAACGGCAATGAATTTATACTGCCCATTCATAAAGTCTCAACTCTCCCACTCTGGACAAAAGCACAGATTCAAAAGAATGGATCTTGACTAGTTCACCAAGGACAAAAAGAAGCTGTAAAAGGATGATATTCTTGTTTTAGCTTTATTATCAACATGCCCTTATTATACTAATACGGAAATTCTAATGTAACACAAGCAT